CCATCTGAACAGGTATGGTGTGTAAAACACCTGTGGCTCCCTGGGACAATCTGTACAGGTATGGTGGGTAAAACACCTGTGTGTCCCTGGGACCATCTGAACAGGTATGGTGTGTAAAACACCTGTGTGTCCCTGGGACCATCTGAACAGGTATGGTGTGTAAAACACCTGTATGTCCCCGGGACAATCTGTACAGATATGGTGTGTAAAACCCCTGTGGGTCCCTGGGACAATCTATACAGGTATGGTGTGTAAAACACTCGTGGCCCTAGGACAATCTGTACAGGTATAGTGTGTAAAACACCTGTGTGTCCCTGGGACAATCAGTACAGGTATGGTGTGTAAAACACCTGTGGCTCCCTGGGACAATCTGTACAGGTATGGAGTGTAAAACACCTGTGGGTCCCTGGGACAATCTGGACAGGTATGGTGTGTAAAACACCTGTGGGTTCCTGGGACAATCTGTACAGGTATGGTGTGTGAAACACCTGTATGGCCCTGGGACAAACTGTACAGGTATGGTGTGTGAAACACCTGTATGGCTCTGCCTGTTTGTTCCAGGAACAGTGAACAGGTATGGTGTGAAAAACCCCTGTGTGTCCCTGGGAAAATCTGTACAGGTATGGTGTGTAAAACTCCTGTGGGTCCCTGGGACAATCTGTACAGGAATGGTGTGTAAAACACCTGTGTGTCCCTGGGACCATCTGTACAGGTATGGTGTGTAACACACCTGTGTGTCCCTGGGACAATCTGTACAGGAATGGTGTGTAAAACACCTGTGGGTCCCTGGGACAATCTATACAGGTATGGTGTGTAAAACACTCGTGGCCCTGGGACAATCTGTACAGGTATGGTGTGTAAAACACCTGTGTGTCCCTGGGACAATCTATACAGGGATGGTGTGTAAAACACATGTGTGTCCCTGGGACAATCTGTACAGGTATGGTGTGTAAAACACATGTGTGTCCCTGGGACAAACTGTACAGATATTGTGTGTGAAACACCTGTATGGCCCTGAGACAATCTGTACAGGTATGGTGTGTGAAACACCTGTATGGCTCTGGGACAAACTGTACAGGTATGGTGTGAAAAACACCTGTGTGTCCTTGGGACAAACTGTACAGGTATGGTGTGTGAAACACCTGTATGGCCCTGGGACAAACTGTACAGGTATGGTGTGAAAAACACCTGTATGGCCCTGGGACAATCTGTACAGGTACACCTGTATGTCCGAAGGACAAATTGAACAGGTATGGTTTATTGACACCTGTATGTCATTGGGACAAAGTGTACAGGTATGCTGTATTAAACACATGTATATACTTTGGACAAAGTGTAAAGGTACAGTGTATATACATCTGTATGCCCTGTGGACAAAGTGAACAGATATGGTTATATACAACTGTATGTCCTGTGTACAAAGTGTACAAGTATGCTGTATTAAACACCTGTAGTTCCCTGAAACAAAGTGTACAAGTATGCTGTATTAAACACCTGTAGTTCCCTGAAACAAAGTGTACAAGTATGCTGTATTAAACACCTGTAGTTCCCTGAAACAAAGTGTACAAGTATGCTGTATTAAACACCTGTAGTTCCCTGAAACAAAGTGTACAAGTATGCTGTATTAAACACCTGTAGTTCCCTGAAACAAAGTGTACAAGTATGCTGTATTAAACACCTGTAGTTCCCTGAAACAAAGTGTACAAGTATGCTGTATTAAACACCTGTAGTTCCCTGAAACAAAGTGTACAAGTATGCTGTATTAAACACCTGTAGTTCCCTGAAACAAAGTGTACAAGTATGCTGTATTAAACACCTGTAGTTCCCTGAAACAAAGTGTACAAGTATGCTGTATTAAACACCTGTAGTTCCCTGAAACAAAGTGTACAAGTATGCTGTATTAAACACCTGTAGTTCCCTGAAACAAAGTGTACAAGTATGCTGTATTAAACACCTGTAGTTCCCTGAAACAAAGTGTACAAGTATGCTGTATTAAACACCTGTAGTTCCCTGAAACAAAGTGTACAAGTATGCTGTATTAAACACCTGTAGTTCCCTGAAACAAAGTGTACAAGTATGCTGTATTAAACACCTGTAGTTCCCTGGGACAAAGTGTACAATAATGCTGTATAGCCACCTGTTTGTTCCATGGACAAAGTGTACATACACATGCTTGTCCCTTGGATAAAGTTACAAGGTTGCATGTATGATCTATATTACACAGGTATGGTGTTTAAGATCCATGTATGTACGTCCTATGTACTTTTAGTTGAAGAGGAAATTACACAGAATTGACAGTTTGTTGGATATATACACCAATCTGTGATACCAGTAGATTATAAATACTCCCAACTTCTATGATTTATTCTCTAAATTCTTTATACATGTACAGCACCTGGTTCTACTTAATCAACTTACAAATGATTACATTCTTTAGTCATTTGCATTAAATATCCAAACACAGAACTATCCCGTATATTTGCATAAGAAAACATTGTACTTTCTGGTTGAATGAGAACAAAAAATCCTGATCAATTTATTTTGGAGTAATCTTTTACATGTTTTCCCTATGGACGAATAATCTGAATCATATCCAACTCACAAAGATTAACAAGTTTGACATGCTACCAATTATGATGCAAGTTCAGATTATGACACAAATTACATTATTTACAAATCACAGAGAGTGTTTGTTTCCAGGTCTAATGCTTTACTAAGCATCTAATCATTTACTTCATCTAATCATTATAATTCCTGTTACCAGGATCACTCCCCCGTTTGGTTGAATGACTCCCCTACAAGACCTTTCAGGAAGTTTTTTCTGTTTAAGTTCTGATGCTTTATAATGTAGTATGATGCTACTAACAATACAAGTGTTCCTTATGGTACTTAGCTGGTATATAAAACCTCCCAAATACAGTCCTCAGAAGAGAAAAACACAAAGATAGTTGGATGTTTCTAAAGTTCCATGTAGATCCAGATGATCTCACTTTGAGTACAAGCAGTACGGTGTACCTGATGATCACAAGTGTGTAAAATTTGATTTGCTCCAGCTGTTTATATGCGAGCAATACAAAGGGTGGTAAAGGGTTTGTCAGACTCTAAGATCTATAGTTGCACACAAAAAGACGGCTTAGTACATGTAGTTACATTTCAAAAGCGGCTGTTTATGCACTGTTATAGCGGCCCTGTTTATGCACTGTAATAGCGGCCCTGTTTATGCACTGTAATAGCGGCCCTGTTTATGCACTGTAATAGCGGCTCAGTGTTTATGCATTATTATAGCGGCCCTGTTTATGCACTGTTATAGCGGCCCTGTTTATGCACTGTAATAGTGGCCCTGTTTATGCACTGTTACAGCGGCTCAGTGTTTATGCACTGTTATAGCAGCCCTGTTTATGCACTGTTATAGCGGCCCTGTTTATGCACTGTAATAGCGGCCCTGTTTATGCAATGTTATAGCGGCCCTGTTTATGCACTGTTATAGCAGCCCTGTTTATGCACTGTAATAGCGGCCCTGTTTATGCACTGTTATAGCGGCCCTGTTTATGCACTGTTATAGCGGCCCTGTTTATGCACTGTTATAGCGGCCCTGTTTATGCACTGTTACAGCGGTCCTGTTTATGCACTGTTATAGCGGCCCTTTTTATGCACTGTAATACAGGCCCTGTTTATGCACTGTTATAGCGGCTCAGTGTTTATGCACTGTTATAGCAGCCCTGTTTATGCACTGTTATAGCGGCCCTGTTTATGCACTGTTACAGCGGCTCAGTGTTTATGCACTGTTATAGTGGCCCTGTTTATGCACTGTTATAGCGGCCCTGTTTATGCACTGTTACAGCGGCCCTGTTTATGTACTGTTATAGCGACTCTGTTTATGCACTGGTATAGCGGCCCTGTTTATGCACTGTTATAGCGGCCCTGTTTATGCACTGTTATAGCGGCCCTGTTTATGTACTGTTTCTATATAGTACATATGATGAAGTCTTTGGGCCACTCTGTACATGTATTTCTATATAGTACATACGATGAAGTCTTTGGGCCACTCTGTACATGAATTTCTATATAGTACATACGATGAAGACTTTGGGCCACTCTGTACATGAATTTCTATATAGTACATACGATGAAGACTTTGGGCCACTCTGTACATGAATTTCTATATAGTACATACGATGAATCTCTGTCATTGCATTTCAGGCAAAACAATGATGCCTGTAGTTACATGTATACTCTCAGTAAACCTTTTTGCTTGAAACATCAAAGCATCTGCACACTTAGACACTCTGATAAGACATGTTTGGGTTTCTTTTTTCACTGAAATGTTTACTTCCTGTGATACAGAATGCAGTTTTATCTTAAAGGTCACCTTTGGGTCAAGACAAACCTAGTTGAGTTCCACACAGGATCTTAAGGGTGTTGAATTTGGGTAAGGGGATTCTAAGTGTGATGCTGTGATAAGATAATCCCTAAATGTGATATTTTGAAGAAAACAAAAAGTATGATAAAATCAGTGTTCATACATTGAGTGAATTAGTGACAGATCTGATAACATACATATGTAACCCACTCTCTGGAACTTCCCTACACAGTCTCCTACACAGTCTAGAATCTCTCCTTTCACAATATCTGTAACTATTTTTATTCATTTGGCATCTGTATCCCTCCACTCTCTCTCTCTCCATCTTCTCCAATCCCCTTGGCCCATCTCCCCCCATCTCCTCCAATCCCCTTGGCCTGTCTCACTCCATCACCTCCCATCCTCCTGGCCTGTTTCCTGCCATCTCCTCCAATCCCTTTGGCGAATCTTCCTCAATCTCCCTGGCCTATCTCCCTCCCCCACCTCCCATCCTCCTGGCCCATCTCCCACCATCTCCTTCTATTCCCCTGGCCCATCCCCCTCCACCACCTCCCATCCTCCTGGCCTGTCTCACTCCATCACCTCCCATCCTCCTGGCCCATTTCCTGCCATCTCCTCCGATCCCTCTGGCCAATCTTCCTCAATCTCGTCCCATCCCCTTGGCCAATCTCCCTCCACCACCTCCCATCCCTTTGGCCAATCTCCCTTCACCACATCCCATCCTCCTGGCCTGTCTCCCACCATCTCCTTCTATCCCCCTGGCCCATCCCACTCCCCCATCTCTCATCCCCTTTGCCAATCTCCCTTCACCACATCCCATCCTCCTGGCCCGTCTCCCACCATCTCCTTCTATTACCCTGGCCCATCCCCCTCCACCACCTCCCATCCTCCTGGCCTGTCTCCCACCATCTCCTTCTATCCCCCTGGCCCATCCCACTCCCCCACCTCCCATCCCCTTTGCCAATCTCCCTTCACCACTTCCTATCCTCCTGGCCCGTCTCCCACCATCTCCTTCTTTTACCCTGGCCCATCCCCCTCCACCCCCTCCCATCCTCCTGGCCTGTCTCCCACCATCTCCTTCTATCCCCCTGGCCCCTCCCCCTCCCCCATCTCTCATTCCCCTGGCCCATATGTATTCCTCCATGATCTCCCACCATCTCCTCCCATTCACCTGGCCTATTTCCCTCCATCTACTCCCATCCCCTTGGCCTGTCTCTCTACATCTCCTCCCATTCACCTTGCCTATTTCCCTCCATCTCCTCCCATCCCCTTGGCCTGTCTCTCTACATCTCCTCCCATCCTCTGGCCTGTCTCTCTACATCTCCTCCCATCCTCTTGGCCTGTCTCTCTCCATCTCCTCCCATCCCCCTGGCCCGTCTCCTGCAATTTCCTCCAATCCTCTTGGCATGTCTCTCTCTACGCCACCAATCCCCTTAGCATGTCTCTCTCTATGCCTCCTATCCCCTAGCTGATCTCCCTCCATCACCTCCTATCCTCTTGGCCCATCTCCCTCCATCTCCTCCCATCCCCCTGGCCCGTTTCCTGCCAACTCCTCCAATCCCCTTGCCATGTCTCTTTCCATGCCTCCTATCCCCTGGCCTGTCTCCCTCCATCTCCTCCCATCCCCCTGCCCAAATCCAATAGTTTGAGAACTCTGAGCTGTGTGTGTTCATGGCACTCCTCTGCAGCATGTGGTGTTTAGAATGCACATGCTTCATAACCTGGTATGATGCACAGCAAGATGATATACAGTTATACCTTTTATCTAAAATGAGAAATTAGCACTTGTTATTCAAGCCAGATTGTTTGTGATAGTTGTATATACAATTTGTGTACAGATCTGCCAGGCTATCTACAGAAAGTGATATCAGTAAGCCCATTGTATCACTACACAATAGATTGCATGGAGAATCAACCACGTACACTTCTCATCCCATCAGAAACATTTCCTGCTAATTAAGTAGGAAATTCAAAAGAAGTGGAAGAGCAAAAACTGTTCCAATATATATATAACGGGACATTTTATCTATTTTAGATATTGATTTTAATGCGCTGTATGATACCTGGAACACAAGTACCTGATGGCCTGGCAATGTCTCCAGTGCCCCAGCTGTGTAACTGGCACCTGTCTATATCCACAGTAACAATGTGGTTCTAGTGTGAAGAAGTACATATCTGTCTGATGCTATACAGTAATAATACTGTAGTCTGACTGACAGTCGTGTGGTCCCTACACCTCTTACTCAACAGCAACTACAAGGTCTAATCACATACCTGGACAGGGGCCACCAAACATCATCACTGACCACAGGCACCACCAAACATCATCACTGACCACAGGCACCACCAAACATCATCACTGACAATAGGCACCACCAAACATCATCACTGACCACAGGCACCACCAAACATCATCACTGACCATAGGGGCCACAAAACACCATCACTGACCATAGGGACCACCAAACATCACCACTGACCACAGGCACCACCAAACATCATCACTGACCACAGGCACCACCAAACAACATCACTGACCACAGGCACCACCAAACATCATCACTGACCACAGGGACCACCAAACATCATCATTGACCTACAGGGATAAAGCATATTTAGGAAAAAACCTCAAAAAGGCAATATCAATATGGCACACTTCTACCATCCTGTCAACTCTGTGGCAAAAAAGTTACATGTATGTCAGCTAATTAAGTTTAATACAATAAATTGTTTCAGTGCAATAACTTAGTCAACTTGCCACGATTGCTAAGACTTTATATCAAAATAAATATCACTTTGGTTGATTAAATCTGACTATTTGAGATCAGATCATTTCTTTTTTACAATTTTCATTAGGATTGAATGAAGCAAAGGACCTTTTCTGTTTTTCTTTTCTATATATATATTACTATGACTTTGGTAACTGTCTCTGTGTAATGATCACGATATCACTTCAATATAGCCAGATCTCTGATTGGATGCTGACTCAATAGTCTACATCATGTATACTGTATGATATTTAGCTGATATGAACCAAAGTCTAAATGCAGCCCAACTTCCAATGGATTTTCTGTCTCTAGAACCATACGTGACTGTCTCTGCTGGATCAGTAAATGGTCATGGTGGTGTGTGTGACTGCCAGATATTTCACATCCAAAAATGACCATAACCCTGTCATAAAACAAATAAGGCCACTTTCCCACAAAAGCTAAACCCATGTACAACTTTTGAACAACAACTTTCCAAAAACCATAAGCTTGGCTTATGTCATTTAAACTGATGGGACTGACCGTCCATTGGTCCATCACTGAGGTCATTGTCCTTTATCACGATATATAGTCGTCAAGGTCACCTCTGACTGAATCTGACCATTTGTTAATGGATACTTGACTTTCATCAACAAATTGCATTCTTTATGGATATCATATCCTAAACCCCAAGGCTCACATCCCCCTTTAGAAATGTCCACATCCCCCTTTAGAAATGTCCACATCCCCCATTAGAAATGTCCACATCCCCCATTAGAAATGTCCACATCCCCAATTCGAAATGTCCTCATCCCCCATTAGAAATGTCTACAGAGGGGTCTTAACCTAAAGGAAGGTCTTTCTGGTCTATTTGTATATCATGGTTCGGTGTAGACAGGTTATACTGTAAAAGAGGTTTTTCTAGCCAGAAAAAAACATACCTCTCAGGTAGAACGAATCAACATAAATCTGTTAAGATTTACATCCAGAAAAAACATAATATTAGGTAGGTAGGTATTCATTTTGAATTTGAAAATTATTTTTTTGTCTTTTATGGAGCTCAAATCCCAACTTTACCAGTCATTGCTTGTTTAAACCTGCCTAAAACCTCTAGGGTTGGAAGGAAATGTAAGGACAGATAGAGTAACCCTAAACAGGCAAATACATTGTCTCACAGAATCATTGTCTCCCGGGAGCCACCGGAAATGACATTGAACAATGAGAAGCCCTTAGTGACCTTGACATTTCCATAGCAATCCCAAACTTCTCTGATTCAATAGCATCATGTATATATATATATATGCAGTAGAGTTTGTAATCTATGGAACACTACAGAACAAAAAGTAAGAACATAGAGTGAAAAGACAGACATCTAGAAGGAACAGCAGAAACAGTATTTCATCCTAGAGCACTTTTTAAATTATGGTACACAATCGCAAAACAATAAGAAATCATTGGGTAAATATAATTATAACCTTCAAATTACAGAGCTTCACAATGGAATGCAATCGTGCATTTAAAAATTAATATCCAACTTCGTAACAATTCAACTGGTGCTTGATTTGCACAAAAGAACAAATACCATTTTTAACAATTCTCGCCTAAATGACCTCAAGGAGCAATCAGGACAGAAATGTTTCAGTCCAAACTGTGAATTAGTATAAGTGTCTATATAGGGGGTAAGAGGTATCATGAAACGACAGCAGTAAGGGTACTGAAGCAAGTCTGTAATCATACTGCAGCTAGCACAACACAGTAACGTCAGCGTTGGGCTGGAGTCTCTCAAAACCGTCTGTCAATGGGGATACAAAACAATTAGGTACACAGACACTGGCTCACTGTATAAGTGAGGATTCGGGGAGCCCTACTTATCATTGCCTGGCTATCGATCCATGGTCGTCCTCAGCAGTGCTGTCTGTCTGTGTGTCCCATCTCCTGGTCAGCAAAGTTGCCTAACCTGGTCATCACAGACCCAGGGACCATATCTATCATTCTAATGGGCTTTAGCCTTTGGGGTTACATTATGTACTAGTGCTTAAATAACTGATGGAGAAGTCGGGATTTGGCTTTATGGGTTGTTCTGTCTCTGAGAAAGACACGCCCCTTCCTTCTCCCGTCTGGAGAGGTAAATGGGTGCTGACATAATCCAGCAGATGTTAGCATGCAATAAGACGGAAAAAGAGTAACCCCACGGTGATAGAAAGGCCATCTTTGGCACCAAGGACTTTAAAAACATATACCAATTTTTAATTAAAGCCATACAACATTTTTTTGTCATGAAGATCTCATACAATTAGTAGAGGATAGAGTACTCCCAAAGATAATTACCGCTACAGAACTTTGACCTTTCTAGTAAAGTGATATATGTGACACACTCTAGATCTATGAGTTTTCATCTATTTTCATGGTAAACTACCATTTTATAAAAAGCAGAATGTATAGTTAATTTTCTTTGTCACAATTACTTAGTATTGGTAATATTGACCTAAATCAATTTTCAAAACTCAATGAAAATAGCTATTTAAAACGACCCATATGGTCCAATCTTGATAACAAAATTAAATTTGAACATCTACATATAGTTCGGAAAATAAAAACATCATTTACAACCTGTGTCTTTATAAATTATCTGTTGAACATCATAAAAAACAGGTTAATTTTGTGAATTGCAGTAATGAGTAGAAGAAGCAAATTGTAATTAATATAATTAGTATCAAGTTGATATGATCCCAATGTAAAACACATTAAATAGCAAGTTAAGATTGCATTACCGAAGACGACTTTTGAAAAAAATGTTACATAAACATGTGTTCAACTAGAACTGTATTCAGTTTGTAATGTTTATGTGAAAATATATAGATAAACATAGTAAATCTACCCTATTGATTAATTTACTTACGCATATAATTCATATGGAGGTAGGGTAGTCTTAGTGGTAGGACGCCAGGCTCGTAACCGAAGGGTTGCGGGTTCGAGTCACGGCACAGCACTTGGTTGTATCTTTGAACAAGATACTTTACTCCGCTTGTTCTAGTCTACTCAGCTGTAAATGAGTACCTGGTTGGGCAGTGCTAGAATTGTTGAATACTAGCTGTGAGCACCAAAATGGCAGCACTGGCTGTATGCTCCCCAGGGAGTTGAGAAAGATATTGGCTGGTTGCAAAGGCCCTATAACCACAGATAATCATTTGTGAACTGCTTTGAGACAACCTATGAACTAGGTTGTGATAAAGCGGTATATAAGAACCTCGAATTATTATTATTATTATTATAATTATTGCATTAATCTTGAGAATTTTCACAACAAAAGCTACTATGAACTATCAAAGATATTTTCCCCATCATTACCAGTAAGGTTTTAGCTCACAATGATAATTCAATAGAGAGATCATTTCCTCATTATAATAATTATAAATCACTGGTGCTGATTTTACTTCTGAGAATTTTATAACACTCTTTTAATCTTCTATTGCTGATTTGAAAAAAGTGATTCAAAATTGGCAAAAAATTGTAAGCAATAATAGAAAATTATCCCGAGCTTCCTCTATCACTATAAACACACACACTTGTGTTATTGCTGTGTATTAAAGTGCTGTGTCGGAGGAACTGATCCCTCAGCTTGTCTTTGAGCAATCACTAAGGTATCTTATTTTGAAAATATACCATTTAATATTTGATGATATAGTTTGTTTATGATAAATGCCATCTGTTCCAAACTGCTGGCACACGTTGAGAAATGGCTTGATGGTGGTATGATTAGGGTTGGGATCATCTGTACTACAGGTTTAAACAGCCTCACACTCGTGAGACAATTACCAGAAGTTATGTCCTTTACCGATAGCATTACCACAGCCACTAACTCGAAATTATCCTTCCTGTTTAAGTGCACAGCAAGGAAATTGTCATATAACTCAAGTTACATGCTACATGCACGTTTTTGTCAGACCACTAGCTGTCCTAGAAATAACTACTAAGACAGTTTCCAATTAACTGGGAGACATGCTTCACAGCACCAGGAAACTTCTAGCAGAGCTGACTGGGGATGGCATTCTAGGACCATCATATGACGGCTAACTCACCCTGACAGGCTCCAATTAGATTTTAAAGTCTGCCCTGACAGTATAATTCTTTAATTTTCTCAATTGATGAGCTGATAGACGTGCCCACCACCTATGGTTCCACGGCACCGCCTGAAACACTTCAATCCACATCGCATACAAGGCACACAAACAACAGGCTTCTTCAATACATGTGCATTATAACTTAAACCATGCTACACTTTTAAGTAATTCCAGATGTTCTTTTTGTTATTATTTGCCTTTTCATATACCTTGAAGGTTTATACGGCTAGGCATATGTGTATGGTAAACTAGCCACAGTGCTCTGAGATCTGTACCCACTGATGCTATAACGCAACATATGGTATTGTCTCACTGCTACGGCTAATGATATGGGTTCAAACCACAATGGGAGCTTAGCAGTGTCATTATTTTGTGAACTGTTTTTTTATATCTTTAACCACTACAGCAACTTAATAAACCATCAACTAATTAATATGTATAACAACACATATTTTCCTGGCCATAAATCATTTATAAACTTTTATTAAAATATGTTTTGTCTTTCAAAAGTCACTGTCTGATGAACGAGCTAAGCTTACTTTGATATAAACATTGAGTCACTGACCCCGTAAAGATAGGTTACCCATGACCCTCAGCTAACCTGTTACAGTTTACATGAGAAACCTAACCTGTTACATGGTAAAGATGTTACATGGTAAAGCTAAACTGTTGCATGATAAAGCTAACCTGTTGCATGATAAAGATAACCTGTTGCATGATAAAGTGAATCTGTTGCATGATAAAGCTAAACTGTTGCATGATAAAGCTAACCTGTTACATGATAAAGCTAACCTGTTGCATGATAAAGATAACCTGTTACATGATAAAGCTAACCTGTTAAAAGATAAAGCTAACTTGTTGCATGATAAACTGAATCTGTTGCATGATAAAGCTAAACTGTTGCATGATAAAGTCAACCTGTTGCATGATAAAGCTAAACTGTTGCATGATAAAGCTAACCTGTGACATGAAAAAGCTAACATGTTGCATGATAAAGCTAACCTGTTACATGATAAAGCTAACCTGTAACATGATAAAGCTAACCTGTTACATGATAAAGCTAAACTGTTGCATGATAAAGCTAACCTGTTACATGAAAAAGCTAACATGTTGCATGATAAAGCTAACATGTTGCATGATAAAACTAACCTGTTGCATGATAAAGTGAATCTGTTGCATGATAAACTGTTGCATGATAAAGCTAACCAGTGACATGATAAAGCTAACTGTTACATGATAATCATAAAATATTGTTAACTTGCCAACTTTTTGAAATTTCCATGGGGGAGATTTTGCATGCTCAAAATTAAAACCTAAATAAAATGTGGGTGTGATACTCCCTAGACAAAAAATACTCTTTTGAATGACATTCTTTGGGTTGTTCATTAGATCTTAGAATATAGAAATAGTTTAGCAAATTCACTGGTTGAAAATGCTAAATTAAAGGGTCCAATATCTGGAGTCTCCCTCCTAAATAGGGAGAGTTGACAAGTAACTGAAAATAAACAAGAGGTAAAGGGAGGGGCTATACTGCACTAGGATTGTAATCAAATAATTGGATTTTAATGTGAGTCAATTTTCAGGAAGAAATTACCTAAAATGTCAATAAAGGCTGTATGATTGGTTAGATTAACCCTTTTACCAGCAGAACATTGCTTGTGATGATGTATACCGATTCTGTACAAGACATTTACACAAGTGCACATGTACTGCTGCCAAACTGTTCACTTGACAATATATTACGTTGGGCTATATGGAGAAACCCAGAAATCAGGGGAGTGTGTAATCTAAGCCATGTATACACCAATCGATACCACAGCTCCGCCACAAATAGGGACAGTGCTCACCAACTTAATCCCAGGCTACACTGTAGATGCTTCCGATGAATTCTGTACACTGTGACATCTCAAAACAAAATGACACAGTTATTTAAAACAAAATCCATCATTTCTAAAACTCTCAATGAATTTCAATCAAAAATTGATTTCAAGATATCATTGAAAGAAATGTACACAAGTTAGGTACATGTGTAACAATATGAAGCATTTGTTTATCATCAAAAACAAATTTCTTAATGCATTGAAATTACTGCTCATCTTAACCTAATTAAAAAAACTGTCAATTAATTTGTATTTGATAACAATTGATTTGAGAGTACCTGGTTATTGATTTTTTTCTTTAAAAAAAGGGCTTATTCGACCTATCCAGCAACTTCAATCTAGAAAAAAAACAAATTTTTGACAATGTTTTTGCCAAATCGGTGAATATGCAAGTAGTAATAACTCAAACTTTCAGTGCTACAAGAACAGTTCTTTATAACAGAATGTTAACGTGAGTTTGGTGAAATTGAATTACAACTAAGTTTCGAAGTTGAACACATATTATGATGATGTTCAATTTTGTCTGTTGCAGGTGTAACGCAAATGTGTCTAATGCTGCCTGATTGAGGACAACGATGTTGCAGTACGGAGACAGACATGTGACCATGAGCCAATGAAGATGGAAGTTACCATTGATGTAGAAAACGACCATCCCTGGGTCCGTAGGTGACCTTCAAACTTAAGTGTTGTAACAAGCACTGGTCAGTTACCTTAAGTGGACATTACATAAGGACTAATACATAAACGTGACCTTTCATAGGAACAAGCAGCTCAAGGTCACAATCTCTGATATAACACAGTTCAAGGTCAAAATCTCTGATATAAAAGATCAAGGTCAACATCTTTGAAACAACAGTTCAAGGTCAACATCTTTGATACAACAGTTCAAGGTCAAAATCTCTGATACAACAGTTCAAGGTCAAAATCTCTGATACAACAGTTCAAGGTCAACATCTCTGATACAACAGTTCAAGGTCAACATTTCCATGATAACAGTGTAAGGTCAACATCTCCAAAACAACGGTCCAAGGTCAAAATCTCTGATACAACAGTTCAAGGTCAACATCTCTGATATAAGAGTTCGAGTTCAAAATCTTTTATACAATAGTTCAATGTCAACATATTTGATACAACAGTTCAAGGTCAACATTTCTGATACAACAGTTCAAGGTCAACATTTCCGAGATAACAGTGTAAGGTCATCATCTTCAAAATAGTCCAAGGTGTCAACATCTCCAACACGATCAAGGTCAACAAGGTTAATACCTCTATGTTCTAGAACCAAGGTTCAGTTTTGGACATCAGCTGACACAATAACACAATGCTAGCAGTATAGCCTTGTGTCCTGTTCATTATTAACCAACTGATTTGTGGGCCAGCTATTTACTGTCAGCATAAAGTGAGGAATTATTACCACTGAGGCTACCAAAGGATTGTTGAATTACGTTGATGAATATCATACATGGTGTTTGATAGACAGAGAGGCGGTAAAGAGCTCGCTTCTGGCCACAATCTATACAAGGAGGTTAATAGGACCACTTGGTTGTCAGTATTAACACCCTAATGCAAGGCCGTTGACGCCAAGAGCTTCCGACGTTCCTACGTCAGAGTCTGTGGTATTACCGTGGTGTTGGTGTGACAACACGATCAGCCAGAACTCGTGCATTCAACCATCATACAGAAGGGGTGCCACATCTTACACGCAGCACAAGGCTAATGGTGTGATTTCCTGGAGCCAGGAAATCGAACGCGCCAATCTGATATATATACTAGACGTCCACAATCTAAGATATAGACCAGACAAGAAGGACATTTAGATCCATGTTGGGTTAGAATGAAGTAAACCCTAGCATGCTAGCCAGGAGAAGCAGTAATCAATAGAAGAAAACACACAATCACATCCGACTCAATTCATATTCATTAGTACACAATGTAGTAACGAATGTCCCACCTGCTTTACAAGACTCCAGTACAGATGAAATTAGAGAAAAAATTGACCAATATTAATCCAAATGTTCTAAGGTTATGTACTCTCTTCTCTGACGTAGATAAAAACTGATTTTGAAAGCTTCACACACAAACCACAGGAATGAAATAGTTCAGATAATCGAGTTATGTCAGGCACAAATGTTTGCTATAGACTATAACCTGATATGTGACTTACTCTATCCCTGAAAATGTGGAGTAAAGACCAACCATGCAGCTTGTGTAATATAAATGTCTGGCTGTATATCATGATGGCAGTGCTGCCCCTGTGCTGTCCTGATAAGGGACAGGACAAGATGTGGACACCACCGTTCTGTCCCAAACTGTGTACCTGTAGCCTGAGTCGGTATGAGCCACCCACACAGGGCAAACTCATGAAGACGATCAACTGCTCCGAGGCAGGACTCGGATCTGTCCCAAAGAACCTATCCAACCAGGTGGAGGTAATCATGCTCAAAGGCAACAGAATCAAATACCTCAAGATAAGGGACATTCTGAACTATTTAAAGCACTTTGATGTGTCCTCAAACAGAATATCCAAGATAGACAACAGACTACAAAAGTTAACACATTTAAAGTCTCTCGACCTTCACAACAACAGTTTATCTTACCTACCCAACGGTCAGTTTAGCGGTCTCAAATTCCTGGCCTACCTTGATTTGTCCAACAACGTTTTACATTCCATAGAGAAGCACTCATTTGGGGGACTCAACTACCTCCAGCGCCTCAATCTGGAGGGCAATAAGCTGTCATTCCTGGAGCGGGAGTGGTTCCTCAGCATGCCGTCCCTTAGGTGGCTGTACCTCTCAAGGAACAACCTGCGCAACATAGAACCAAACATGTTTGAGACTCTGGCGAACCTCGCCGAGCTCCGACTAGATCACAACAACATATTTAACATAGGTGATGATGCATTCCATGGAATGAACGAGTTGTCTACATTAGACCTGTCCTTCAACAAGTTGAGCAGGGTTCCCGATGGTACAGTTCTCTCAGTTGCGAGTCTACAGTGCCTGTACCTGGATGGGAACCCAATATACAGGATCAGTCGAGGCGCCTTCAAAAATCTCAATGTTTCTCTCATCAGGGCTCGGTACATGCCAAATCTAAATGTCATTGAAAAACAAGCCTTCAAAAATCTTCCCCAGCTTCAAATTTTGGAGCTTCATGATAATCCCATGCTCATTTATGTTGATTCTGATGCTTTTAGTAATGTTCCGCGTCTCAAGAGTTTATATTTACATAACAACCGACTGTTTGCTGTGCCTCGAGCCATCAGAACAGGGTTACCCTCATTGGAAAAAATTCATATTTATAACAACAATCTCAGATGTGACTGTAATGCATATTGGATAAGACAGGAGTTGGTGAAGGAGGAACAACAACCCAACTTTACGTCGGTTTTGTATGAGGAATCTGTTTTACGCTGTGATTCTCCGCCAAACTTATCTGGTCGACTATTAAAAATGCTTCCGAAAAAGGCAATTAACAAAACATGTGCACCTTCAGCCCTGCCTTTATTCGGGACCAGCTACAATATCAGTGTTGGAGAGGAACTGAGGCTAGAATGCCATGCTCTTGGTGTTCCTGACCCCCAAATAAAGTGGCGACTCCCCAACGGGACAATGTTGTCAGGGTCAGTTAAGTCGGGGCGGGTACAAGTGTTTGGAAATTGTACTCTGATTGTGCGACATCTGCGGCCATCAGACAGTGGCACCTACTTGTGTAAGGCAATGAACCAGAATGGATTTGACATTAGCTCAACGTCCGTAATGGTGAACAACAAACCAATCCGAATCATTCCCTCCAGCATTGCTGGGGACTATGTGACAATCATGTGGAATGGGACCACATACCGTTCAATGATATCGGACTACCAGATACACTATCGGGTACCCTCATCCACAATACAGTACAGCACTATCCACCTAGGGCAGTTTGCCACCCGTTACACATTCACCAACCTCAAACCCCTAACAATGTATGAGTTCTGCATCGTTTATGTGTATGACACGGAGCAGTACACAGTAGACTGTGTCAATGTGACCACTACACAGCCTGGTGAACTACCCATGGGCATCACCAGGATAGACAAACGTATTATCATTGGTTCATGTGCCGTCATCCTGCTAGCGATCGCGCTTGGCTGTGTGATAGCTGTTGCAAGACGTTTTCGGAGGCACAAGGAGTACCTTGAACCCACTAGTCACGAGAAAAGTGAAGCCATGGCACATATTCCATTGGACAATTTCTATAATCCCCCTACCACACCATTGTGTTCTTCTCGAACTTCCTTAATCAGTGCTCAAGACTGAAGGCACACTCCCCGAACTAAAGGGAGGTAACACATTCCTAGACTCCAATGCCAAGAGATAATCTAATGTAAAATAATGGAAGATAATGTGTGTTTTCTATTCATATGGAGATAATATCAAAAGACACACTAAAGTCAGGATTGCATGGTTGGAAATAAGGGGAGATAACACCACAAGATTAAGATAGATTCTTACATAATAGTGTGAATTAATTTAAAAGTGTGTACCAAATTCCAGGAGTTCTCATGGAGGTTAGTGATATTCTGTACCAAAAAGATGTTATTCACGTGCACAAAATCCTATCTTCATATGCGTAAATGTGCCAGAGAGCCTGAGGATGAAGTTTCCCCCAAAATTCTACGATTTGTATCAAAATATATGTATTTATTGCTTTGTGATGTGGTTTTAAGTATAGAAATTGTAATAATAAGTGATCACAAAAAAATACGTTGTTGCAGAAATTTATACAAGATTTAAAGTTGGATTAAGGAGCTATATGGAGGATTATTATTATACCTAAAATTGTGACAATTTATGTGTTCATAGAAGTGAAGGTAAGGATGGGTATTTGACACACAACTACAGTACGGTCTCATACAGAGTAGTCGCCCATAGGAGCAAGCGTGTTACTACGACACCAAGCCAAGGACATGTTGGTGTGCAGTCACATGTGATATCTGTCTTATAATATCCCTGTTAGTGAGATAATGCATTGTAAACATTCATTCTGTGAAATTAAAATGCTGCTTCTCTCCTGTCAATCCATAATTTAGCAGTAATATGGTGATTTGGTCATAATTTACTCCCGTAAACAGTTCCGATAAAAGGTCATGTGACCTGTCAACACGTCCCTCAAGGGCAATTAAAAAGTGTTGATAATGGCAAACTTTGATAGTACAGAGAGAGAAAATCCCTCTTTCAGCACATAAATGACTTGTTCAATTAGTAAATTTAAAGTAATTACTTAATTATTAAAGTCATATTTCCCGATTGGGGTAAACAATTTTTATATTTTTCACAAGTGTGTAGCATAAGTGAAAAATATTTTTAAAACATTAAAAATGAAATATAACTGATCCATCAGGGAACCAGAACCCATCAGTGTTCTTCTTATTATACAAACATGGGCTTCCACGAACATAACAGTCCACCACATGAAAACAAAAATGTTGAGCCAAGGAATATGCTGTATTGTGACACCACATTAAGAAAATATCAGGGCATCATCAACATCACAATGGAATATTTATACCCATTGTTAGCTATTTTTCATACTAAACCTTGCTCTCTAGTTGGTTTAGTTTGAAAATAACAAAAAATGCTATTTGCTACAGTAGAAAAATAACATCTTTGTTTTCGCTGTTTAACCTTATATTTCACAGAAAAAAATGCATTATATCTTTGGTTCAATTTTTCCCAGTGGCTATCAAATATTTTTTGGTTGATCTTAAACAAATACTTTTAAATTCTGAAGTACTTTTTCTGTATAATTTTTGTTTTTAAATATTTGTACATTATATGATGTATTATAAAGCAAAGTCATTGCAATTCTTTTGCTTGGTCCTAAGCCTGTTTTACATAAAAAAAAATGTTAGTAGTTCTTCCAAATCTCAATTCATCACAACTTTTCTGACACTTCAATGTACAAACTACAGTTACTTCCAGCAGGCAAGTGACATTATAATGTAATGTTTTCAGTGGTAGATTTCACCAACAAAAAGTAATGGCCTTCAGGTTTAAGTACTACTGTTTACTTCAGTTTACAGGTTTTTTTCTTGATGAAAGTGAAATAATATTGTACACCCAGAAACTTTCGCCAGGTCAAACTTTCGCCAGGTCAAACTTTTCGCCCTCTGACAGTAATATCCATTTTAGTCCCTAGTTAAATTTGTCATTCACATTTGTTTACTTAATGCTTAATATGTTATAAACTTAGTGTTCATCATAATAATAAATTTGCCCTCATTTAATTACGGAGGACAAATGAGGCGAAATTTAAACTGTGGCAAAAATTTCCCCTGGGGCCTGTTCGTTATGTAGAACAAACGGTTTGTCACTTTTTAAATGTTACATTTTCGGGTACAAATACTAAAGGACCTACAAATGTTTATGCAGGCCTTGCAAAGGCTTTGTCAAAGGCTCACCTGTAAGTAGCATCAGATTAACAAGTCTGACCTTATTTCATAAAAGAACAACTCTGGTCCAACTGGTTCAACTGTTTGGATCGCGATAAATGAAAGCGGCCCAGGTGTATATTAATATTAATTTTTATAACAGTAATTTTTTTTAGATCGGGACCAACTTATATGCACATTGCAATACAAAAATGGAAAATGCTTGTGGTTGGAAAATTTGTTATGCAGACAACCAACATAACACTATCTTCTTAATTCATTGATGTATTAATAAATATTCTGCATTTACAGTTTGTTTAAACATTTCTGAAATGTTGTATATATTCAGTCCTGACATGTTTGGCACTGATGATTAATTAAGAGAAAATGTGTGTTACTGAAGTAAATGATACTAACTTTGAATAATTAAACAAGTGTCTTAAATGGCAAGGTACCTTGGCGTGATGCCACCCTGTTGCTATATAGGTCAGTATTATCTAATCTTAACTCACCATTTTGCATGTCATCTAATTGGCCCATATCACTGATAGATCATGTTTGTTGTACAGTATTAGTATGATGACTAAGGTAGTCTTTTTTTAAATCCTTCAGATATGCTTACAACATTTATTAATAAATGGTCAATATTATCGATGTTTATACAATTTCTTCCTTAAACTTCCATATTAATCTAATTCAAATTGGATATTTGCATCGCTCCCATTTACGTATATGTCGTGACATATCAGGAAATGGGAGTGATGCTAAGATCTAATTTCAATTAAATTTCTTCGATATATGTAATATGGTGCTCCACATTGCTGAACCATCATACCCATTAAGAGTAATAGTTCCTGTCATCTGTTACCTTGACTGGCAATACTTAAATTTTGCAGGCTCTCATTTTTACAATTTTACTCCTGCAAATTCTCTGGGTTTAGACTTAGTGCTACAAAGTCTCTAGTCCAAACTCTCAATCAGAAAGCCTATGTTTACCGTAGGACATATCTGTTAAACTTTCTTTTTTCTAACAGCAAATGTATTGAAAAACATAATGAAATGCAAGTTGTATAGAGTTTGAGTATGGCACAGCAATAATAACTTCAAACCATTGTATATGTAATATATGTATGTGGCTGTCACCTGTTTTCCTAAATCACCAGTTATCAGTGTACTTTCATACATAGAATACATCTAGACTTGCTAATGTCCCAGACTAGCTAAAGTCCCAGAATTTTATAGCTCTGCCAATGTTTCTTTTGTTATACAATCAAAAGCCTTTGGACTGAATCTGTACTATTTATCAAGTCACTTTAGCTTTAATGTTTTATCAAAATCAAAAAAAATATTTTAGGATAAAACGATTATGGAAATCTTGATAGTCTAACAAAGGCCTGTATTTAAATGACTATCATTTTATTGTTAATATATTTAAGAATTAAATCAGCATTATGTTTGAAAAATCCCACTTTCCATGAAAACAATATTGTGAACTGACATTTATTGACAACAAAGACACAAATATATTCTCATTCCAGCTTGTCAATGAAGTAATGAACTAGCAATGATGTCAAAGAATATCATATTAGTCAGTGACATCCCTGTTAGGGAGGATTCTTTGTCAAAACAGTGTGACTGTCTAATGTTTGTCTTCATCTGTACTCATTTAATATTTCAGATTGCTGACATGTATGTGTCGTTCTCTTTACTTTGTCAATCAAAAACAATAAAGTGCAAAATAAGACATTTCATGGGTATTGTTTGTTTGTTATAATCTATCTATTGTGTGACTCAGTCTTAAGTATTTAAACTGTATCTGAATCAAGCATATCCAAGTATGCTGAAACTTACTTGTTGTTGTTTGAAGACCACAGTGAAAGTTGCTGTTCCTGGGAAGCAGTTGTTGCTGAGGAGAATGTTGGTGTACAACAGGCGATGGCTCATGTTCCTGAAGAGGACATAATTGTGTTTGAAGATAAGGGTTATAAATCTTAGGGGTCAACTTATTGTGCCCGAAGGGTTGAAAGGAACAATAAGGGGTTGAAAGGTATTGTTCGGACATATAGGGATATATATATACCCGGTATGTATCTTGAGAAAGGGTTATTTTGCCTTTGGATAGAGTTATTGTGCATAAGGATTGAATTATTATGTCTGAGGTTAGGAACATTGTTTGAGGACAGTGTTATTGTGCATTAGGATAGGAATATCTAGTCTTGCGATAGGGTTATTGTGCATATAAGGATTGAATCTTTTTATCTGAGGTTAGGAAAATTGTTTGAGGATATGGATATTGTGTCAAATGGGATAGGGTTATTGTGTATCGGGATAGGAATATTGTTCCTGGAGATAGGGTTATTGTGTTTTGGGATTTATAGGCTATTGTGTTTTGGGATAGGGTACCTTAAATGTAACTGGGGATGTGATTATTATTCCTGGGAAAACACTGGAGACAGGAACCCCTTTTTCAAATATGTAATTGTTACAAGTGTTGGAAATGAACCTTGCCAATTATACAAAATTAATGACTTTTGAGGAAGCCATGCAATTGAATTACGACCTTATAAATCAAATGAAGTGCCAAGGCTACATGGCTGGAGGTAACACTGACGATCGTAACAAAGTGTTGATCACATGGTATGTGTAAAGCGTAGGAATCAATACATTCCTTCGTGATTGATAACGTGTCACGATCCTTGTCTTACCACATCAGTTTGTAAGTAATTCATGGATACTGCTAGGCATTTACACAATCTTACTACAACCACAAAAGGCCAATTAATTCTCATCCACCTAAGGAAACGTATGAAAACTGAAATACTTCTCTGGTCTTTCCTTCTTGGAGGTGATGGATCAATAAGCTTACAAATTAACAAATATGGTTTTAGAACATCTCATAGATGAACAATTGTAGCAATGCCATTGTACGATTCTTTCATAGAAATGTGACGGCGACGGAAATCGGAAAATTATTTGTTCAAGGTATTTATTGAAAGACTTGATAAGTGAACATAAAAGATGGTTGATTGTAATACTGAATCTTTCTGTAACTCCCATTATTTGTACTACGCGGTTTTTAAGTATGTTCTGACACTATACACCTTGGTATACCATCGACCACAGTACCAAGACTATTAGCTATTAGTCTACTGGTTCAGCACAAATCAGCTAAGTGCAGTATAAAAGTCCGGACTGCCATCTTCTGGGCCGGCTTCCTACTCACTTTGATAACTACAATACAGCAATCAAAGCACCATTAATGTACACGGCTCCATCATTGTCTACGACTACTCGGGTATACACACTTTTTTAACGATGTCATGGATCCTTGGTTACTATCAGGCCTTGAGGAAGAACAGATAACATCAGCCCATTTGATTCTACACAAAAACATGATAGCCATAACGATAATCATCTAGTGTCATCATTGATAACGTTTACTGTGTAAGGACTATGGAACTGAGATATCTGACTGTAATGAATGAGGGGGAAATGTGAGTTGGTCTGGATTTGGAATGATATATGAGCCTGGAGGCCCTGGGTCTGAATCTTTGTACTGTATTAGGGAAGCCCACCAGACGGTCCCTGTACTGCTTGAAAGGATGTCTGATGGGGAGTAAATGAGGTCCAAGTGTATTTTGTGATGGGAGGGTGGGACTGAGGTCCCTGTATTTTGTGATGGCAGGGTGGGACTGAGGTCCTTGTATTTTGTGATGGCAGGGTCGGACTGAGGTCCCTGTATTTTGTGATGGCAGGGTGGGACTGAGGTCCCTGTATTTTGTAATGGGAGGGTGGGACTGAATTCCCTGTATTTTGTAAAGGGAGGGTGGGACTGAGGTCCCTGTATTTTGTAATGGGAGGGTGGGACTGAATTCCCTGTATTTTGTGATGGCAGGGGGGGACTGAGGTCCCTGTATTTTGTAATGGGGGGGTGGGACTGAATTCCCTGTATTTTGTGATGGCAGGGCGGGACTGAATTCCCTGTATTTTGTGATGGCAGGGCGGGACTGAGGTCCCTGTATTTTGTAATGGAAGGGTGGGACTGAGGTCCTTGTATTTGTGAAGGGACGGTGGGAATTAGGTCTGTGTATTTGTGGGAGGGTGGGACTGAGTTCCATGTATTTTGTGATGGCAGGGTGGGACTGAATTACCTGTATTTTGTGATGGCAGGGTGGGACTGAGGGCCTTGGATTTTGTGATGGGAGGGGGGGACTGAGGTCCTTGTATTTTGTGATGGCAGGGGGGGACTGAGGTCCCTGTATTTTGTAATGGGGGGGTGGGACTGAATTCCCTGTATTTTGTAAAGGGAGGGCGGGACTGAGGTCCCTGTATTTTGTAATGGAAGGGTGGGACTGAGGTCCTTGTATTTGTGAAGGGACGGTGGGAATTAGGTCTGTGTATTTGTGGGAGGGTGGGACTGAGTTCCCTGTATTTTGTGAAGGGACGGTGGGATTGAGGTCTGTGTATTTGTGGGAGGGTGGGACTGTCAGTTCCCTTTATTTTGTGAAGGGATGGTGGGAATGAGGTCTTTGTATTTGTGGGAGGGTGGGACTGAGTTCCATGTATTTTGTGATGGCAGGGTGGGACTGAGGGCCTTGGATTTTGTGATGGGAGGGGGGGACTGAGGTCCTTGTATTTTGTGATGGCAGTGTGGGACTGAGGTCCTTGTATTTTGTGATGGCAGGGTGGGACTGAGGTCCCTGTATTTTGTAATGGAAGGGTGGGACTGAGGTCCTTGTATTTGTGAAGGGACGGTGGGAATTAGGTCTGTGTATTTGTGGGAGGGTGGGACTGAGTTCCCTGTATTTTGGAATGGGAGGGTGGGACTGAGTTCCCTGTATTTTGTGATGGCAGGGTGGGACTGAGGTCCCTGTATTTTGTAATGGGAGGGTTGGACTGAGTTTCCTGTATTTTGTAATGGGAGGGTGGGACTGAGTTCCCTGTATTTTGGAATGGGAGGGTGGGACTGAGTTCCCTGTATTTTGTGATGGCAGGGTGGGCCTGAGGTCCCTGTATTTTGTAATGGGAGGGTGGGACTGAGTTTCCTGTATTTTGTAATGGGAGGGTGGGACTGAGGTCACTGTATTTTGTGAAGGGACGATGGGAATGAGGTCTGTGTATTTGTGGGAGGGTGGGACTGTCAGTTCCCTTTATTTTGTGAAGGGATGGTGGGAATGAGGTCTTTGTATTTGTGGGAGGGTGGGACTGAGTTCCCTGTATTTTGTAATGGGAGGGTGGAACTGAGTTCCCTGTATTTTGTGAAGGGATGGTGGGAATGAGGTCTGTGTATTTTGGGGAGGGAGGGGAGGGTAGGCATGGTGTCCCTGTATTTTTTTGAGGGAAAGGTGTGAACGAGGGTCCATGTATTTTGTGATGGAGGGACGTAAGAGAGAATCAATGAACAGACTCTGTCAGGGTTTGGTTCGAGTGGACTAAGATCCCAAAGGAACTCTGTGAATGTTCTTGGTGCAGTATTCCACACATAAATTATAATAACAGCATGTCCCAGGGCTTTTGTTTCCGTGTACTATAACTCATCAATTAATCACATCTCTGTTGATGGTGTTGTACATAAACAACACCATCAATCAATAAAGTCTAATTCAGCTAAACAGTGGGCTGGAAAAACACCAGTATACTCTAACAGCAGCTAGTGGGCTTGTAACTATATATCACTTCCAAACCCTATAAATCAGTGTACTAAGTGTGGTTTAGGTTACAAAGTGGTCATTCATTTCAACTTGGCTTTCTCACTATCTGTGGGGACAGGTGCTCTATCTACAAGGGGAGGACAGTGAGCTATCTATGGGAAGACAAAAACATTTCAATCATGTTGTTTGAGGGGGTAATCACCACACCATATACAAGACATAGCTATCTCTGGATAGACCTGTATTAAGCAGCTTATTCAAACTGTACTTATAAATGTGACAAAATCAGCCCTAAGCTCTGCCATTAATGGAAGGAACCAGCACTTCAACTTTTTTCTGGACAAAATGACAAAAAAATATGAAACTTTCTAATCTACTTTCTTAAATTTTGTTAGTTATTTTTTTTATAATCTGCTTAATTCTGTGGAAACCATTACGGTTGGTATAAATATACACAGCAAATGTTGTGTAGCGGAACTGGACTGGGTCGATTGCAGGCAACCAGATAGGTCAATAAATTGGTAGAGCATCCGTCTAGAGTTCGGATGGTCCTGGGTTTGAGTTCCAATCTGGCCGTGCTTTTTCTCTGTTACAGTTGCATCTTATTCTCACAAGGAACCATTGCTAATCTTATAACTGAGCAAAAAGGAAACGTCTATAGCAGACATTCGACTCAATAAACAAACACCTAGCTTTTACATTTCCTTTTAACATAATTATATATATATAGAATTCACTCTGAAAATATTAAAAAATGCCAATTTTATCGTTCTGTATTGGAGCGAATGAAACTACCGGTAAAATGTAAGTTTCAGGAGGGAAGTTATTTGGGCAAAATACATGCAGAACTGGTTTTAAATCTTCCGAGTGGTTGCTGAGAATAATTAGCAGGAAAACACGGCCAGTCAATGGCCACCAGATGGACCAGATACAGCTCGAGTATAACCACAAACTGACCATCTATTTATCTACATTCACACTTTTACTGGGTAGGTAGGTCAGGGGTAAACAAACAATAGCTGTCTTTTTGTTTGGCATTTAACTACTTATGTACCTTGTACCAGGTTAAGGATGCATGTCCCAATGCAGGAAAACACT